TTCGAGACCCGCCTGGGCAGCGAGACCTCAGCAGTCTACAATAAATCAAAAAATCAGCCAGGCATGGTGGCGCATGCCTGGAATTCCGGCTACTCGGAAGGCTGAGGCGGAAGGATCGCCGGAGCCCAGCAGGTCGAGGCTGCGGTGGCCGGACGCGGCCACCGCACTCCAGTCTGGGCGACAGAGGGAGACTCCAGCTCAAAAAAAACATGTTAGGATGACGAGCAAGTCTGAATATGGACTGGCTGTTCTACGATCACTGTTCACTTCGTAGGTGTGATGACGGTGCCGCGGTGATGATGGAAAACGTCCTTACTCCAGACGCGCTTTTCAGGTGCCCTGTCGGGACAGTCTGCCATGAACTCTCAGCCAGTTCAAGAGGAAAAAACGTGGCTGTGGGAGACTCCAAGCCAGGGCACTGTATACCCAGCAACCATATGAGCATGTTACACGCTGCAAACACATAACCTATGAACAACGGGGAGAATTCAGGTGAGCGTACACAGACATTCAGGATAGTATTCTCTGGACTTGTCTGTATTTTTTACCATTTTCCAAATAAAAAGTTGGGAAAAGGAAAAAAACGACAGTCATGATTGTTCTAGCTTTATGCACAGTGGGCAGGGGGGTGGGGCACATCAGCACAGAAGGAGTCTGGAAGACAACACCCAAATGTCCTAGTGCTGTTCCATCTCAGGGGGCTTAGAGGGGTTGATTCTTCCTTTCTAATTTTCCTGTTTTAAAAAATGCTCTGTAATGCAGATATCTCACCGTTACCATCAGGAGCTTAACCATGCTTTTGAGTCGGGGTCTGTCTCTGTCACCCATGCTGGAGTGCAGCGGCATGATCATGGCTCACCTCAGCCTCAGCCTCCTGGACTAATAAGGCGATCCTTCCGCCTCAGCCTCCTGAGTAGCTGAGACTACGGGGTGCACCACCATGCCCAGCAAATTTTTAAAATTTTTTCTTTTAAGAGAAGAGGTCTAGCTATGTTGCCCAAACTGGTCTCACATTCCTGGGCCCAAGCAATCCTCCCACCTTGGCCTCCCAAAGTGCGGGAATTAAAAGCATGAGCCACCACGCCTGGCCTAAGCATATTCTTTTTTTTTTTTTTTTTTTGAGTCGGAGTCTCGCTCCGTCGCCCAGACGGGAGTGCAGTGGCCGCTCCCGGCCACCACAGCCTCGACCCGCTGGACTCCGGCGATCCTTCCGCCTCAGCATTCCGAGGAGCTGGAACTACAGGTGCGCGCTACCATGCCCGGCTAATTTTTTATTTATTTATTGTAGAGATGAGGTCTCACCAAGTTGCCCAGGCGGGTCTCGAACCCGCGGACTCCGGCAATCCACTCACCTCGGCCTCCCAAAGTGTGGGATTATAGGCTGAGCCACCGAGCCCGGCGCCTAACCATATTCTTTAAAAATCTCAATAAATATGCTTTAGCAAAATTGTGCACACTGGCCTCTTCCCCGCCAGCTGCTGGACACCTGAAGGGCGTAAGTGGCGTGCTGAGGATGAGTTCATGTCCTGCCTGGGCCCCGGTTAGGAGGCCGGGCCTCTGACTGACCTGGTGCTGGGTCTTGCTCTCCATGTGGCCCAACTTTGTGTTCATCTTGTCCTGGACCGACCCCAGCTCTGCTCTGATCTCCTCCACGGCAGCCTCCAGCTGGTTCTCTAACTTGTTGATCAGAGGCTCACACCGACAGCCGTTTATTGGTGCCTGAGAGGAAATCAACAAGGAATCAATCTGTCATTTGTTCCTCAACCAACACATGCACACACACACACATTTTTTGAGTTGAAGTCTCACTCTGTCACCCAGGCTAGAGTGCAGTGGCATGCTCACAGCCACCATAGCCTCGACCTGCTGGGCTCAGGTGATCCTTCCGCCTCAGCCTTCCAAGCAGCTGGTACTACAGGCAACGCCACCATGCCCAGCTAATTTTTTTAATTATAGAGATGAGGTCTCATCTAGTTACCCAAGCTGGTCTCAAACCCCTGGACTCAGACACTCCTGTCACCTCGGCCTCCCAAAGCGCTTGGATTACAGGTTTCATGGTGCCCAGCCATACACACATTTTTAAGAGACAAGGTCTCGCTATGTTGCCTAGGCTGACCTTAAACTCCTGGGCTCAGGTAATCCCCCCACCTCAGTCTCCCAAAGTGCTGGGATCACGGGCGTGAGCTACCATGCTAGGCCAACAAATAAGTTTGTGCACCTACTACGTGCCACGCAGCACACAGGGGATACAGATGGCGGTGGAGACAGACGCGTTCCGGCTGTGACTCTGGGATGTCCTACAGGCAGAGCTTCGGGGCCACGAGGCACCAAGGAGACTCAGAGGGGCAAGATGTGGTCCTGCTCCGCCCACTACTTCTGTCCACTCAGGGCCTCAGGATGTTTCGGCACCAAGGGAGGGGGCAGCGAGCCTGTAGTTGCCCGCCGGTCGGCCTGGGCCTTGGCAGCAGGAGCGCGTCTGTGCTGTTGAGCGGCAGAGGCCGTCTGGCTATCTCCGAAGCTCTTTACGGAGTCAGTGTCTGAAGTCGGTATCAGCGTGAAACAAAAAGCCTTGCTGAGCTGGGCATGGGGGCTCACGCCTGTAGCCCCAGCACTTTGGGAGGCGGAGGCAGGAGAAGCTCTTGAGCCCAGGAGTTCAAGACCAGCCTGGGCGACACAGCAAGACCTCATCTCTACAAAAAGTCAACACAGGCTGGGCGCGGTGGCTCACACCTCTAACTCCAGCACTTTGGGAGGCCGAGATGAGAGGGCTGCCTGAGCCCACGGGTTCGAGACCCGCCTGGGCAACTTGGCGAGACCTCATCTCTACAATACATCAAAAACTAGCCGAGCGTGGTAGCGCGTGCCTGTAGTTCCAAGCTCCTTGGAAGGCTGAGGCGGAAGGATCGCTGGAGCCCAGCAGGGTGAAGCTGCGGTGGCCGGGAGCGGCCACTGCACTCCAGTCTGGGCGACAGAGTGAGATTCTAACTCAAAAAAAAAAAATCGGAACATCAGCTGGGGGTGGTGGTATGTACTTGCAGTCCCAGCTACTCAGGAGGCTGAGGCAGAAGGATCTCTTGAGCCCAGAAGGCTGAGGCTGCAGTAATCGGGATCACAGCATTGCATTCTAGCCGGGGCAACACAGTGAGGTCCTGTCTCAGAGGGGCCTGTCTAAGGCCGATGCCCGTCCCCCAGCAGGGTCCTCTAGTACCTGCATCACCTTCCCGTCCTTGCCCCGGTACAGCGTGTAGAGCTGGTAAGCTCTGAACTCGTGGGGTGGGGGCGGGGACGAGCAGCGGTGCCGGCTCCTCTTTTTAGGGTGGCTGTGGGCGTGCAGGTTCTTCTGGTGTCCCGGCTGTTGGTCGGCTGGCGGGGTGGGGTCAGAAAATGCTGACACCTGTACAGGAGGAAGAGTGGCCGCCCTGAGCCCCGCGACATCTGCAAGAGTGGCACCTGCGATGACTCCCTGGCACCCTGGCTCCTCACGGCGTCCTGCTCCAAGCCACACGCGTCAGAAGCGGCATGTCAGCACGCCGTCCATGTCTGACATCAGCTGGAGGTGACGTCTAGGCTCTGGCTCTCACGCAGCCAGCCGAGGGAGGTGGCTTTGCAGCTGCCGGGCAGGCCGTTGCCAGGACCCCCGCCGCCCCGCCTCCCAGCCACCCCTCCTGGCCGTCCTCACGTGCCTCCTGACCTTGGGCCTTGACTTTCTCCTCCTGTTGTCCTTGGCTCTGGGCTCTGGGGAGGCTGACAGGAAATCTTCGCTGGCCTCTTCTTTTCTGAGCACAGCCTGTTCACTGCTGGGGGTGTCTCCTGCCGAGACACTGCCCTGCAGAGGAGAAAAGTCCAGTCACCTGCTCTACTTGCTCCCTCAGTCTTTCTCAGTAAGGGTTAAATTATTATTTTAATTAAAACCCTTTTTAAAAAATATAGAGACAGGGTGTCAATATATTGCTCAGGCTGGTCTTGAACTCCTGGCCTCGAGCAATCCTCCTGCCTCAGCCTCCAGAGTGCTGGGACTACAGTCGTGAGCCACCGCACCCAGCCTAAGAGGGTAAAATTCTATTTGCTAGACTCCATCTCATAAGGGACTCATGGGAATCTTTGCCAGTGACACAAATTCAGACCCAGGGAACACCGCATGGTGGGCTTCACTAAACAGAGGGTGCTCTTCCTGGTGGGTTGAATATTTGGCTTTCATTTTATATATGAGGTCCCAGGCTAAATATATTCTTGGGTCTAATTCTAGGTTCTGGAACCCCAGGAGCCTACCACACACAAAGCACGCCAGCACGAAGCGATGTTTGGTCTTTTGCATTTCAGCAAAACATAAGCCTCTCATTCTTTGACCTCCGACCCCCCACGTTCATGGCAAAGAGTAAGAGCTCTCTGAAATGGTATATCACATTTCCAGTCCTCGTGAAAAATATTTACCACTGAATATGCACAGTTCACATATGGAGCTTAATCAGACCTGCAACGCCTTGACCCTGGAAACGGGCGAGAAGATTTTGGAAGAGCAAGCAGGACAACAGCAAGGACCTGCGAAAGCATCTCACATGCCTGAAGCTATCTCTGTGCCCCGTCTTCTTCCTCCTGAGAGAGCCGACAGGCAGGGCTCCTTCCAGGGCGACCACGTGCAGCTGTGCAAACTGTTCACTGCACAGGGCATGGGGGGCGGGGCAGAGGAGCTGAAACCTGCTCGGGCTCTGTGCACCATGTGTGCCCTGCACGGGGCAGGGTGACCCAGGGGCGTCTTTTTCTCATTTGCACAGACCTCTGGGTCCCCCCCGGAGGCTCTCATCATCCAGTGTCGGAGGTAAGGCCCAAGAATCTGCCTTTTTTTTTCTTTTTCTTTTTTTGGAGTCGGAGTCTCACTCTGTCACCCAGGTTGGAGTGCAGTGGCACGCTCACAGCCACCACGGCCTCAACCTGTTGGACTCAGATGATCCTTCCGCCTCAGCCTTCTATGTAGCTGGAATTACAGGCACGTGCCGCCACGACCGGTTGATTTTTTGATTGATTGTAGAGACGAGGTTTTGCCGTATTGCCTGGGCTAGTCTCGAACCCCGGGACTCAGGCATCCTCTCACTTCTTCTGCCTCCCCAAGTACTGGGATGACAGGTGTGAGTCACTGCATCCGGGAAGAACCTGCATTTCTTAACAGGTCCCAGGTGACACACTGGACTCACACATCGAGAACCGCGGCTTCACGCAAGGCGGGCATGGTGCCGGAGAGGCAGTGCCACCCCCAGGGCGGGGACCAGGGCCACAGACCCATGGGGCCAGTGACTATGCCGGCTGGTGGGGGCACCGACACACAGGTGTGGTCTGAACTCCCACAGGAGTGGGCACGAAGCCGGGGCAGCACCTGGCAGCCCATGGAGAAACCCCAGCCAGGAGGGGCAGAGCAGGACATGGCCGCCACCCCGCGGAAGCAGGGAGCCTGGGGGCGTGGGCGACTCCCCACCTTGCTCTGCGCCACCTCGTCTCTCGGCACGGACTGGGCCCTCCGCTCCTCCTTCAGCCTCTCCCTCCTCTTCCTCAGGCTTCGCCCTCGGCTGAAGCGCAAGACCTGCGGAGGCAAAGGGCGGGTGACCGGCCGCGGGGGACAGCGCGATGGAGAGCTCCGCGGCCGGGTGGACCCCGCAGCCCAGCGGGAGAGGCCAAGCCGCCACATCAAGGCGCCACCTCGGGGCCACCGGCGATGCCTCCTGGCCTCGGCCGGACACTGCCGGCCCGCGATGGGGAGGCGCCCGTCCCGCCCAGGGGGCTGAAAGTGCCCGGCCGTGAGGACAGCAGGCGTGGTGTGCCGGGCAGGAGGCAGACCGCGGCCCAGGGAGCACCATTCCACAGGC